CTTCTTAGTTGTGGCATGCAGGCGGGATCTAATTCCCTGTCCAGGGATCGAACCTAGGCCCCCTGCATTGGGGGTGTGGAGTCTCACCCACTGGACCACCAGGGAAGTTCCGGGGGATAGAGAGTCTTAAAGTCAACAGATGAGTTTATACTGGAGCCAGAGGGCATCTAGATCCACCGGAAGTCTTTAATGAGTTGTATGTGGCTGTAAATGGACATATTTGGAGGAACATTCTGGTTTGCATGTAGACTGGACTAGTAGAGAGGAGGCCAGGCTTGAACCCACCAGTTAAAGGTTTGGCTTGTAAATACAGAGGTGAAAAAAGTTGAGGGATGGGGGAATCAGCTGTATTTGCTTGGGGACATGTCTATTAGGAGAACAATATCAAAAATTTGAAATAACACGAATAACAACTTGGTGATTAATTTGTTCCCAGTGATCTCTCCAAGTAGGTGTTTACTTTGTCTTACTGATCTAACAACCCATTTCTTATCCTGTTAAGTGTATGGTTTGTGTTTCTTTTTATATTTCACATGAATGAATCCTTTCTAGAACTTCAGTATCCATTCAGTTTTCTGCTTTTTATTTTTAAATTTGAATCTGCCTCTAAATGACTCGTTTTACATGATTTTAGCTGCATTTACTACTGGGAAAATTCCTCTAAGGGTGAATGCTGGGATGAGTGATTTGCAGTGCATTTGTAGTATGCCAGTGTTGCCCCGCTGGGGACTCCTGAACGCTTTTCCCTTTTTTAATGTGATCAACACGTAGCCTTTTGCAGAAAGTGGGCAAGTCAGTTGAACTAAGTGATTAGCAGCAACCTTAGGACTCCCTTAAGAGAATGCTCTTTGTTAGTGGGAGCTAAGTGGTGTTTCTATTTTCAGAGTTGAACCTAGACTTGAAATAAATATAATTTACACCTACTTTATGCCTGAAGTCAGAGAAATAAACTCTCAGTGTAAATCTGCTGCCCCTCCACCAGTATCAAAGTCCTTTTGATTTCAGAGTTTTCTCTTGTATCCATTCATTTTTTAAAATAATTTTT